GTCTTAGATCTTTGAGTTCAGCTCATGAAAAATGGGGGCAAAAACAAGTGTTTCGTTTATCATTTTGTTCAGTGTATAAAGGTAACTGATAATAATAGCAAAACTAATAGTTTATTATTATTATTATTGAGTTGTTAATATTATTTTTTATTATTAATGTTTTTTTTCTTTTGCTCTTGGTGTGAATAAGCCTTAAATTGAATAAAAGGTGTCAATCCATGCAAATAGGCAATCGTGTTAAAATGCATAGTTTATATGAACAGATATTTCTGTGAAGGAGCAGTAGGGGGCGCGAGATGCCTCAGAAAAATAAAGGAGGGTCTTTGTGTGCTTCCCCTGTCCTCTCACTGCTATGGGTGCGGCTTCACATCAGTGCAAGATTCATAGCACATCATTTTAGTACACGCATGCTCGCATTTATCGCACTGTAAAGTATAAAGGTAAAACACACGCGTAAAGATTTTCAGATTCTTTAAAGCAACAAATATAAAGAAAAACTATAGATAAAATGCATCTCTGTAGAGTTCTTGTTGGTTATAGATTTAATATTAACTGCCGCGTTGTTTCTCTGGGAAACAGGAACTCTTCACACTCTATAAGTGAAGCCACATAGCATATTACTGAAATATTAACTTCAACCAGTGCACTAGTTGACAATCATAGGCCATCATGTTACTTCCTCTTGTGTGGTGCTCTTAATGCATTAAACAATCATGTTGATTTTGTGCAAGTATGCATTTTTTTTTAAAAGACCTAGCTACCTGAGAGCCATCCATAATTTCAATACTCTAGAAAAGAAACTTGAGGCTAAATACAAAGCTCTGTGGTTTAAAACCCAGCGTATGGGAATAGTGTGTGGTTTGAGTGGTGTGGCTCAGATGCAGCACTGCTATAGGGGAACTGTAGCCTACAGTAGTATTAAGCAACAGAACTCTGTAAGTAAATATTTAATTTTGTTTTAGCTTTATTGCTTAAAGCTATTTATGAGTATCACAAAGTGCACAAGATAGTTTGACCGACTTGTAAATCCTCAAATATACTAAATGAGTAAAGGCCCATTTGGTTTGATGACATTTGCAAACCAGAAACTTCGAAGCGGTGGGTTTTCTAAATGAATGCCCCCATCTTGTACAAAGGTCAAGGAAAAAAACATAATCTGACAATTTTATTTTATCATCACCTCAGACCAGTGGTGTTATGTAATGAAGTAATAATACTTTGTTACAGTATACTTAAGTGTTTTTTAGGAGTATCTGTACTTTACTTGAGTTTTTATATTTCAGCCAACTTTTACTTTTACTCCACTACATTTCCTAATTAAAATGTATACTTTTACTCTGATACATTTCCCCGAAGCATATTAGTTCCCCACTACAAAATAGTCAGAAGAACACGGACTGCAGGAAAGCAGGTTTGACTACTAAAAACACCTTTGCTCATGTGCAAACAATTGTGCGCACAACCGAGGAGGATTCATTTTCCACTCAAGTCGACTTAGTCGAGTCTGGGGCGTGCGATACAGCATCATCTGCGATAATATGTTAAGTGTTGTTGTAATGATGTGCGATCTGATATTATCAAGTAGGCTATATCACCAAATCACACACAGAGTGCACGCACGTTCATTTATTAATCTATTAAAATTCAAGGCATTCTAAATTGTAGACGGCAAAAATGCTTCTGTATGTTTTTTATATTTATATAATTTAATATAGTTAACTTAATCTATATCACACAAAGAGTACCGTTTTTCCTGCAGATATCAGCATGAACACATTTAATAATCATTTTATACAAGTTCAGTAAAGCAATGGCTTATATTTTAGACATAATATTGCTTGTTTTTGTTCAATTTTGCCAACGAAAATAATTCCAAACAAAGATCACAGCACTGTTTTGTGTCTCTGAGCAGTGGACGGTGTTTACTTATTGAATGAATCAGCTTTTTTAACGAATTGGTTGAATATGATTCAGTGATTCACTCATTAACACAGTCGAATGATTTGTTTCTGAAAGAATCAGTCGTTTGAATGAATCGGTTGAATCTCAATGACTCACTCATTAACAGTCACTTGCTGTCACCTACTGGCGGTTTTAATTTCACATTTCGACTCATTTTTTCATGTTTTAAATTATTTCAAATATCAGTATTCAACGTTTTATGTTAAAAACAAAACATTAGGCCTATTTGTGCATCTGTAACTGCAGGTTAAATGCATCCATGTCCCCTCTGAGATACATTAAACTGTGTAAATGCATCTAAATGCTATTTCAGATGCAGATTCCAGAAATGTTTTCTTATGTTGGAATGAAAGACACCAAGTACCGAATGAAGTGCTTCTTATTCTTACCCAAAAAATACAAAATGGAAGGAGGAGTTAAATCTGAACACAATCTTGCTACTCAAGCTGTATGAAAATGTTTATATATGTATTTATTTGCTTCTTTTCCATTTTGCATTTACTTGTACTTTTACTTTCAATACTTAAGTATGTTTAAGATAAAAAAAAAAAAGTTTTCGTACTTAAGTACAAAAAATATCACATACTTTAAAGGTGTCATATGATGCGATTTAAATTTTTCCTTTCTCTTTGGAGTGTTACAAGCTCTTGGTGCATAAAGAAGATCTGTAAAGTTGCAAAGACTAAGTCTCAAATCCAAAGAGATATTCTTTATAAAAGTTAAGTCAGCCACGCCTACCTAAAACGGCTCGTTCTAACACACCCCCACATGTCTACGTCACTATGTGGGAAGATTTGCATAACGCCGCCCAAATGTTCACGCAAAGAAAGAAGGCGTAACTTTTATTCTCGCTGTAGTTTTGTTGTTTCCGCCGCCATGTCCTAAAGATGCTGTGTGCTTCGTTGTGAAAGCGAAGCTACTTTGTTTGGTCTTCCAAAAGAGGATGATATCTTCTTCGTCATGCCTAGAGCTGATCCATGTTAGTTGCTGAGGAAATACTACAATTTTGCGCTGTCGATCGCCGGATCGGCTTTCACCGTGGACAAAGTGGAGTCCAGCCCGGAGTCGTCATGTCCTTCCGGACGCTCCTTCATCGAAATCACCGGCCGCGCCGTTTTCAAGCCCACCCACCTCTGCTCACTCTAACCCTCCGGCCATTCCTCACGCTAGCCCCTGGCCTCTGCTCACTGTAGGCCGCGGTGTGTGACGCTGTTTCGCTGTGCGATGCAACGCAACGCGTAAAAAGACAGTATAAGTCATTATAATCCATGATTATGTCCCCACTGGATGCAACGAATGGCTCGTTTATAATGGGTTTTCATGAGGACCTACAATAATGTACAGTATTTGAAAAATAATGTGTTTTTTGAACATTAAAGCATGTCAACATATTCTGTTACACCAAATACACAAAATAATGATCTTTAAAAAAGCATCATATGACCCCTTTAAGACTTTTACTCAAGTAATATTCTAAACGGTGACCTCAACTTCTACCAAAGTCATTTTCTGGTAAGATATCTGTACTTTTACTTAAGTATGGCTTTCAGGTACTTTATACACCACTGCCTCAGACCTACACGAAACAGAAACTAAGTGGTTGTCTTTATAAATAGCAGATGAAGTGGGTAAGTGAAAAATGCTGGTTGCCACATTAAAATTTCCAGTGCACACTGGGGTCACAACCTTACATAAAAAGGCACTAATTCCATCCACCTGTCATTGTGTTTGTGATGTGATGTGTGATTATTAGGAAACTGGTTGCATCCTCTTCTTATTCGGTTATGACACACACTGATGTGCTGCACACCCCCAGGAAGTGCAACATCTCTGCAGATACAGCCTTTGGCCTGCTTGTGCAGTCATGGAGAAATCTAAATTAAGTGTTTTTATACTTTACCTGAGCTTACTGTACTATATGTGCATTATGCAAAAGTACTTTTTCTATCAGTGTTTTAATAAACTATTCATAAAAACTATTTTATATATATATGTCAGTATTACATATATATTTTCCACTTTTTTGCTTCTATAGTATTGTATAGGTATATTTATACTTGCATAACATTATTTATACTTGCATAACGTTATTTGTCACTGTTTTTTTTTCATTGACACCCTAAGCTTAAGAAAACTGAATTCAAATGGAGGGTCTTAAATGGATAGTTCATCCCAAAATTTTAAAATTCTGTCATTATTTACTCACTGTTGAACACAGAAGAAGATATTTTGAAGAATGTTGGTAATCAAACAGTTGATGGCAGCCACTGACTGATTGAAAATACCTTCTTTATTTATATCCACTTTACAACTTTTTCTCTATGGAAGCCTGTTTCTGCCACAAAAAATATAGAAATAACTAAATAAATAAATGGCTAAATGAAAGAAAAACAATGTATACGTAGTTTAAGCTATATCTCGCAATTTTGTGCGAAATATAAACTCAGAATCCTGACTTTTTTTTTTATTCCGAGCTTACATTTAGCTCTTTTTTTATTATTATTTTTTTTTTAGTTTATCTCGCATCTTGCAATTCTGTGTTTTTTTTCTTTCTTTCTTAGAATTCTGAGCTTATATATCGCAATTCCGAGTTGATATCTGAGTTTTTAACTTGAAATAAACCTGACTTTAGGAATTGTGAGAAAAAAAATCAGAATTATGAATCAGTAGCCTATTCAAAAATCGCTTAACCTCGGAGGCAACCATGGCAACAGTAGCCTACTTTTTAGTTCATTTCACGAGGAAACACTGCCAAAACATAAATACTGTCATTAATCACGTCATTGCAGATCTAACTCATTTATCACAAAATGCTTTATGTTCTGCATACAGCGTCTTTAAAATAGTTCACGTGTTAGAGGCACAGAGAGACAATTTGTGTTGCGTGAGATTACCCAAAATAGATTTATACCAATTCCATTTAAAAGTCTTTTAACTGGAAAGTCATTTTGGACCTCGCGCGCTGCGTCCGTCGAAGCAAGCATTTTTGTTAGAGAGCGAGAGTTTAGAGACGGCATTCCTGGCGGTCCGAGGCTGTCTAGATAGGCAGCTCGCTGTGTTTTGAGACGCGGCCGTGGTGTCTCTTGGCAGCGGCAGAGGCTTTTGGGGACTTACCGGAAACCAACGTTTTTTTTTTCAAGCCTCAAACTTTGTAACTGCAGAAAGTCGAAAGAGGAAAAGAGCAGCAGAGTCCCGTTACATTTCAGCCTCATACACAGTTCCTTGTTTTTCAGCGTCATGTTGGATGTGAGAAAGTTGAGACGAAGACAGATCAACAGTTTTAACCCCAAATAAAGTCCTGCGTCGAGCGTTTTCTTTTGCGCACAACGGGAGCTTTGTTTTTATATCATGGAAGATGTGAGTATTTCACATATCTTTCTTTATCGCTGTACAGGTGGTGTTTTATTGAACATTTAAGCATTGTTATATAAACAATTTAACTCTGTTACAACTTCTTAGTCCTCATCATTGGCGACGTCAAGCAAAACTCACTTGACTTTACTTTGGCTTAGTTAATTATCGCTGTACAGGTGGTGTTTTATTGAACATTTAAGCATTGTTATATAAACAATTTAACTCTGTTACTACTTCTTAGTCCTCATCATTGGCGACGTCAAGCAAAACTCACTTGACTTTACTTTAACTTTGGCTTAGTTACGTGCTGATACTGTTATTCTTTCTCTTGCGTGAATGAACTGAGTGTATTGAAATGGTGGGTTGCATCACTTGTTTATTTGAAGCGTCTTTTGTGCTGCACTGAAATTAAACTCGTCGTGAAATCCAAGAGTCAGACTTAGTTAAGAACTATTAATATTCTGTTCATCAGATCGAGGTGATGTAGCTTTAGATCTGTACCAGGAAGTGAAGCTGCATCCAACCCTTCTAAGGCAAGCGTTGTGTTTGTTAACTGTTTTCTGTTTCAATAGATAGATAGATAGATAGATAGATAGATAGATAGATATGTTTTTGAATATGTTCCATCCATCCAGGGTCTAGCCTATGTCTGTCTGAACAACTAGACTGTTATCTATCTATCTATCTATCTATCTATCTATCTATCTATCTGTCTGTCTGTCTGTCAATATCTATCTGAATGTTTCTATCTATCTGTCTGTCTGTCAATATCTATCTGTATGTATCTATCTGTCTGTCTGTCTATCTATCTATCTGTATGCTTTTATCTATCTGTCTGTCTGCCTGTCTGTCAATATCTATCTGTATGTTTCTATCTATCTGTCTGTCTGTCTGTCAATATATATCTGTATGTTTCTATCTATCTGTCTGTCTGTCAATATCTATCTATCTAGCTGTCTGTCTGTCAATATCTATCTGTGTGTATCTATCTGTCTGTCAATATCTATCTGTATGTATCTATCTGTCTGTCTGTCTATCTATCTGTATGTTTTTATCTATCTGTCTGTCTGCCTGTCTGTCAATATATATCTGTATGTTTCTATCTATCTATCTGTCTGTCTGTCAATATCTATCTGTATGTATCTATCTGTCTGTCTGTCTATCTATCTATCTGTATGCTTTTATCTATCTGTCTGTCTGCCTGTCTGTCAATATCTATCTGTATGTTTCTATCTATCTGTCTGTCTGTCTGTCAATATATATCTGTATGTTTCTATCTATCTATCTGTCTGTCTGTCAATATCTATCTGTATGTTTCTATCTATCTGTCTGTCTGTCTGTCAATATATATCTGTATGTTTCTATCTATCTATCTGTCTGTCTGTCAATATCTATCTATCTAGCTGTCAGTCTGTCAATATCTATCTGTATGTATCTATCTATCTGTCTGTCAATATCTATATGTATGTATCTATCTATCTATCTGTCTGTCTGTCAATATCTATCTGTATGTATCTATCTGTCTGTCAATATCTATCTGTATGTATCTATCTATCTATCTGTCTGTCTGTCAATATCTATATGTATCTATCTATCTATCTATCTATCTATCTATCTATCTATCTATCTATCTATCTATCTATCTATCTATCTATCTATCTATCTATCTATCTATCTATCTATCTATCTATCTATCTGTCTGTCAATATCTATCTGTATGTTTCTATCTATCTGTCTGTCTGTCAATATCTATCTGTATGTTTCTATCTATCTGTCTGTCTGTCAATATCTATCTGTATGTTTCTATCTATCTGTCTGTCTGTCAATATCTATCTGTATGTTTCTATATATCTGTCTGTCAGTCAATATCTATCTATCTATCTATCTATCTATCTATCTGTCTGTCAATATCTATCTGTATGTTTCTATCTATCTGTCTGTCTGTCAATATCTGTATGTTTCTATATATCTGTCTGTCAGTCAATATCTATCTATCTATCTATCTGTCTGTCAATATCTATCTATCTATGTATCTATCTGTCTGTCTGTCTGTCTGTCAATATCTATCTGTATGTATCTATTTGTCTGTCTGTCAATATCTATCTGTATGTTTCTATCTGTCTGTCTGTCTGTCTGTCTGTCAATATCTATCTATCTCTCTATCTATCATCTCAGGGCTCGCAAAATTTCAAAATCCCTGTAGCCCTTCGGGCAGGTACTCTTCAGATTTTGGTTCCCCACGAAAATGTATTTAACTAGCCCAAATCTAATCTAACTAGCCCAAAAATATATATTTTTAATATAGTAAATCAGATAGGAGTTTAAATGTCAATCAAAAATATTTTCAATACACAAATATCAACAAATATGAAGGAAGGAATTTTATTTCACTATTTACAGTGTATTTGCAGTCAGGCAATTTAAGGTAATTTATGACCCATTTTAAGAGCTACACAAGTAAAATGAACACAGTATGAGTGGGGTTGGACAATGTCTATGGTAACATACAGTATTGAGCCATAAAATTACATGATTTACAGTTCAGATACAGGTTTTCACAAAAACAAAAATCTTATACAACAGCATTTCAGCCTTTAGAAGATTTTATGAAAAGGGATAAATCAAGCATATAAATTGTCAATTTAAAATGCACAAATATTACTGTCTTAATTGTTTAGATTTTTAGAAGGCACATTAACTTCTTTCTCATTTACAACGTGTTTGCTGCTTAAAAACATGAGTTGATAGTTGATATTTGCATTGATCGGACCATAAACCGCAAGAAAGGCTTATTGGAAATGCAAATTCATTCTCTGCCACGAGGTGGCGCTTTAGGAGC